CTTTGAACTACTACGCTCCCCTCCCCCCCCCACCCCACCCCACCCCACTTCCTTTCCTATTATATTTGATATGGGGTTGCTTGATCCCACATCTCATAAATAAAATTGTATAATTTCCATATTTGTGCACTTTCGTATTGACATTATTTTAATACAATAATAGTTACAAGATAATATTAATCGATATAATAATAATAATAATGATAAAAACAAATTTCCACATGAGTTCGCTTAGCATGCTTGTAAATTTTAATCGATATTGAAAATATTATCGACTGATCATTGAACGCGTTTCAATGGATTTCCATAAAATGAAAATATGGAATAAAATTAACAAATATTGGTCAATATTTTAATGACAATAACAATAACCATATAAGTTTACGAAAAATGAATTAAAAAAAAATAAAAGAAAACACAAAAAACCAAATAATTAATTAAATTAAAAGTACTATTTAAACTTACTTAAATAATAAAAAATTTTTTTTTTTTATTTGGTTGATGAAGAACAATGTTACGACAGTAAGTTGGAGTAGAAACAACTTTAGTTGTTACACCAACAATGTGTTGGCAATTAGAGTGCAAGGGATTAATATTATGTTTTTATATTTTCTCAAAAATTACATTTATTTATATTTAACTTAAATTTATCAAAAAAAAAAAAAAGAGAAAAAAAAAACTAAAAAAGGCAAGCAAATATCAGAAATATTTATAAAAAGTATTTAAATGCATGAAAATTCTAAAAGGTTTCATTAAAAGAATTTAATTACAATTCTTGATTTCCTCTTTTTTTTTTGTTCTTATCTCTTTCGTCCTTACGTTTCATTTCTTTTTTACCCTCTCTCTCTCTCTCTCTCTCTCTCTCGCTCTTTCTCTTTTTATCTAAAGACAATATTTATATACAGTATTCATATCAAAATGTATCAAAATTACGGATGTTTGATGATAAAAAAGAAAAACAAAAAAAAAAAAGAAATGTTTTAAATTACATTCTGATATTATCATTTTGTGTGTGTGTGTGTGTGTGATTTATTAAATAAGGGCAAGCAAATATCAAAAATTTCGATAAAAAGTATTTAAATGCATCAAGATAGTAAAGGTTTCATTAACAGAATTTAATTGCATTTCTTTAGACTTTTTTTTCTGTCCTGTTTTTTTTTTCTTTCTCTCTCTCTTCTCCTTCTCTTTCTCCTTCTCCTTTGCCTTCCCTCTCTCTCTCTCTTTCTCTCTTTTTTACTAAAAATAATATTCACGTATATTACTCGTATAGAAAATGTATTAATAAAATTACAGAATCATTAATAAAAAAAAAAAAAGGTTTGAGTTACATGCTGAAATTATTAATTTTTTTTGTAAATTATTCTCTTTCTCCCTCTCTCTCTCTCGTTCTTTTTTTTACTCTTTGTTTTTAACATTTTTCTAGGTTTAAATTATATGCTGCTATTATTAATTTTTTTTTTTGTAAATTATCCTCACTCTCTCTCTTTCGTTCTTTTTTTTTTTACTTTTTGTTTTCACGAATCCCACAATTTTTATATTCTCTTTTTTTTCAAATTCTTTATCTCTTTCTCTCTCTCTCTCTCTCTTAAGGAATACTATTCTCGGTGCATTCTCATCCCTCTCTCTCTCTCTCTCTCTCATTCCAGTTCTTTCTATGATACTCGCAAGATATTCAACGTCGTCTTGAAAGCCTTTCGAGATCGAGCTCCTTTGAGATTTGGAAGATCGTCTCTATGGATCTTACCTCCTTCGCTTATTATCTCCTTCCGCTTCACTCCGTAGATCCCACAGCTTCGATTCAACTTTCTTATGCACCGACTCGAACTTTTCAAACCTCATAGTTATTTAGCTTCTCTTATACGCGAACATTATTATTTTCAAGTTATTATATCTTTTTTTCTCTTTTTCATATTATTTCTAGATTCTTTCTCCAATGTTTTATCTTGAATAAATAATCGTTAAGGTTGATAAGTTGATTACAAAAGAAATCAAATTAAAAGTTAAATTCATCGAACGTTTGGTTCCCATTGTAAAATATGAAATATTGAATTGGCAATTAAGTGATTGCGAATTTTAAATTAGAATGAAAATTCCAAAATAGAAATTTATTTAATTTGCTACTGTCCATTTTTGTTGATGACATTTAGTCAATGGTCAGACAGTGTCATAATGTCACGTTCATCAAATTGCTGATCTTTCCTATCAAATAACTAAATTAGGTGTAAAACAATATCTGCAATGACTCAGTTGCCAATACAATACTTTATTTTTTTAACAAAACATATTATTTCGGTGTACCAGTCAAAGGGTTAAAAATATTATAAAAAAGAAAAAAAAACAAAAAAAAAAAAGAAAACGATAATAATTTAACAATATGACGAGATCATATTTTCTTTATTTTTATTTTTTTTTTCATATGATGCCTCCCTCCACAGCTTTAGAATTTTCACTCGTTCTTTTCTTATTCTTTTACTATTTCGGTCGCTTTTCTCCTGGGAATTCGTTCTCTCGGAGACTTGAGAATTGTGGACGGAAAAAGAAAGAGAGAGAAAGAGAGAAAGAGAGAGCAAATAGAACTTAGCAGTCCAACGGGATTTCCAGGAGAGCGCATCACCATTCACCAGAGATCTGCTTATTATCCTGAGAATGTAACTGAGTTTTCTATCTTTATCGAGAGAGTTATGAACAGATCTGTTTTGTTTTTTTTTTATTTTTTTTTTATTTTTTTTATTTCTTATCCTTCTCTCTCTTTTCCTTTTTTTAATTTTTTTTTTTATTTATCTATTACATACAAACGTTTAAGATTAAACGTAAAAATACTTTAAGTTACTTTAATGTAATTATTAATACTAACTATAAATCGTGTAAATCAATTATATTCGTGTAATAATTAAATTTGTGCACGAGATAATTAATAATATAAATAATGTAATGTTTATATTAATTAATTAAATTATATTCAGAAACACACACACACACAAACTTTAATTATTATATTTATTAATAAATTATTCCGTTTCTACAACCAAATTTTAGTTCAAAGTATTCAACACACTTAAATGGTTAAAGAGGATAGAATAAAAATGTTATTATATAAACTAAATTATAATTGCATTAAATCAAATAATTTTATTTAACATATGAATTCTCGAAAGACGAGTATAATTGAATAATAAAATAGAAAATTGAATGAAAACTATAAACAAAATAATATTATTCGATTACTTTTCAATACTTGTTGTCTCTACAGTGTGTAGAGACATAAATACGAAGAACAGAAAATATGTTTGTTCGTTTTTAAGACCTCTTTCAAGGGAAGTTTATCTAATCTCAAGATAGAGTTTCTTTATTGATTTATACGATTAGATGAAATTTTCTTTTAAAAACTTATAAAACGAAAATAAAATCAACGCGAATGATGATTATGATCGTCGGTCGTATATTTGTTCGTATTTCTTTTGTATTATTTTTTAAAAAGATTTACCGTAATTCGAAAGATCATATTACATGGACCGTCCTAGATAAAAATTTGATTATTAATAACATTCGTAGAGTAGGTTGAGCGTGATTTAGTATTCTATTTTAAATTAAGAAATGTTTTTTAAATACCATACACATACGATCTCGCATCCTCATGAATGATAACAGCTTTTTATCATTTCGTAAAACGAACAATCAGAGCGTTTTTATTTTTTTATTTTTTATTGTTCAATGCATTTTATTTATACGATACAATTGTTCTTTATTATTATTGAATTATTGTCATATTATATAATGAAGAGTTTATAATTCTATTGTAAGCAATTGTTAGAAGTTAATAGTTTTAAATAAGATTTATCGTAGTAATTAAAATTACAAGCTTTAAAAACTTGTTGAATGAATTATGAACATGTTTAGTTGAATACAACATTTTCTTTATAAACTTAACAAATTATTTTTATGTTTATTTCTTAACTTGATTTTTTCCGCAAGAAAAAAAGTAATGAAACATTATTAATTAAATGTTAAATTTGTAATAGAGTTTATGTTTAATTAAGAATAATTTGTAATATTAAAATTGTGTAATCATCAAACAAACGTTTTACGCATAGAATTATTATTTTAATTAATGGGAAACAAATTAAACAACAACAATGAAATATCCACGATATCGGTGTTTTATTATTATTATTTTTAATTGACCATAGGGACTTATTATATTTAAACTATGAATATATATATTATAGAGTTACTTAATTATAAAGTTTGTTCTCTCCCCCTTTGGGTAAAA